GAGAGGGGGGCAGACGAGTTTCCCTGGTGGTGCCCAGAGTGGCCACCAGGGAAATCTGGGGAGGGCTAGCCTCCCACTAGTTCGAATTAAGTGGCCACACAGCCCTTAATTCGAACTGCTTAATTCGAACTAAGCATTAGTCCTCATAGAATGAGGTTTACCTAGTTCGAATTAAGCGCTCCGCTAGTTCGAATTAAGTTCGAACTAGCGGTTTGTATGTGTAGCGCCTATCAAAGTTAATTCGAACTAACGTCTGTTAGTTCGAATTAACTTTGTAGTGTAGACATACCCTAAGATATAAGCCCTTAATTCGAACTGCTTAATTCGAACTAAGCATTAGTCCTCATAGAATGAGGTTTACCTAGTTCGAATTAAGCGCTCCGCTAGTTCGAATTAAGTTCGAACTAGCGGTTTGTATGTGTAGCGCCTATCAAAGTTAATTCGAACTAACGTCTGTTAGTTCGAATTAACTTTGTAGTGTAGACATACCCTAAGATATATTAACTAGTTATATTGCTTTCTAAGCAATAATTGCTTAATGGTTATTTTCAAACTAGTATCATTAGTGTAAATGCTTTTGTACCCTAATATATCATGGAGAGGAGCACCATATACAATTTAAATAAAGAGAACAGAACAGAATTTTTGTTAAATATTAAAGTTTAGAATTTACAAATAATCCCTTTTAGATGTCTGGACGTGCTGGAAGACGTGGACAAGATATGATAGGAAATGTGTTCTTCTATGATATACCACTGCCTAAGGTTGAAAAACTTATAAAATCCAATGTACCCCAGCTGAGAGGCCAGTTCCCGCTGAGTATTTCCCTGGTACTGAGACTCATGCTATTGGCTGCAAAAGCAGATGATAAAGCAGATGCCAGAGCAAAGGTATATTCATTCATTTGTTAAAAAAATTCTAATTTTAATATATTATATATTCTCTCTAACCCAAACTAGACATTAGAAATGTAAACAGTCTGATACCAAATGAGGTGTGTATATAGAGCCTCTTAGTGTACTTCTGTGCAAGCACCTCTCTTCAGCCTGGGCCTGACTTAGGCTTGTGCTACTGTGCTAAATATAGCTAAATATGGCCATTCTTACTTTGGCAGGAGCTTCAGCTTTAAGTGCTAGGGAGTGGGGTGGAAATAAGATTTCAAGCTCGATCCTGAGTGGGAACATCAACGCTGCTATTTTTAGCCCCACAATGAAAGCCCTGAGAACCTGGGTCAGTTGACCTGGGGTTTGAGACCCACTACTATGAGATTATTTTTCATTTTGCAATTTAGCTGTACCCCAAAGTCTCTTGTGCTATGAGGATACCACATCACATTAGCAGAAGAAAAGATGCTGCCAACAAGTTGGTTAAAGGTTTAGTCTTTCAAAAAGCATATTGTAGTTACTTCTACAAAGGTGTTTTAGTATTAAAACATCTATGTTGCTTATAGAAGTTGCTATTTTGATTTGGTCTCTTACTTCCTCTGTTTGTGTCCCCTCCTTATCTCTTTCTACTAGTTCTGTTTTCTCTTCTTTACTCCCCATTCACCTTTTGCTATAAAACATGTGAGAGACTGTATAAAGTCTATCAAGGTTTTAATTTAAATAGAGACATCAGACAAAGGGTGAACAAATGATGAAGCATACAGACTTAATCAGTATTGGTTTGAAAACATATTAGTTCAACATTTTTGTTTTAAGTTATATTTTTCATGTCTTACCTAGCAGATGTAGGATGAGGCAGAAAAAACAGATAGAAAAGACGCAGTGAGAAAAGACAAAGGAGGTCACAGAGCTCACCATATGTCACGGAAAATCCGGGACAATCCCAAATTTAAGTGCTCTGTCTTGGTGTCCTGATCAAATAGCAAAATGTCCCAAAAAGCTCTGCTGGAGAAGCAGCAAGCTACAAATGGCTGGTGCACTGCCATTTATTTCCCTTCCCCCCGCTGCCAGAGCTCGCAGACTCATCCCCTAGCGTGGCACAGCAGCAACACTCTTCCTCCCCATCTCCTCACAGAGCACATAGATGGCTCCCTGCCTTGGCGATTTGCTGGCAGGCAGCTGGTATGGCTTCAGGAGTTCCCCACATTCCAGTACGCCACCAGGCAAGTTCCCGCCACCTCCTGCCCCACCAACACACGCCACATGGCCCTCTCCTTTCCCCCGCAGGACTGCCTCTGTCATGCAGGGCTCCGTCTTACAGCAGCCACCGTCACTGCTGCTTCAGGAGAGGAGGGGGTGCTAGGTGAAACCGTGGCAAAAGGCACCAAGGAGCCGCTCCCGGACCTCGGTGCTTTTGAGCTGCCATCTGCACCCAGGTGGAGGCCACACAGAGCCCGGCTGGGATGCTGCCACCCTCTGGAGGTATGCTTGGGCTCAGCTGGTGCACTTAGAGCGGTGTCACTTTCTCCCTTCCGCCTCTCCTCACCCCACTGGGGGAACAGTAGTGTATGGAGCTGGTCTGGTGGAGTCGGGGTTTCCTTATCACCCCTCTCAGAAGCTGGAGTTGGTGAACGGGTGCCTCGCTGTTTGGGGGGGGGGAGCTAAGCTGGGCTTCCTCCCCCTCCCCACCCCGCAAATGACACCCCCATGCTCCCTCACTTGGGCCAAACCTTTGTCTGTCTTCTTCCTGTTCTACTCCTCTCATGATACTACTCAGAGAATACATATGCACCAGCAGCAGACACAATTTTCTACACTTTGGGTCCTAGTGACGTCCCCCCACAGTCTGGCATCTGAGGCGGCCGTCTCAGTTCACCTCACAGTGACGCCAGCCCTGCCCACTGGGATAATGGCAGCTCTCTGTCCAGAAACTTTCCACTCTGCAAAGGGGCATGAAGCCAAAATCCCACACCCCATCTTGCACCGACACCCTCTTTTGCTCCTGCACCCTCCCTCCTGGCCGGACACCTACCCCAGCAGCTTCTGCTCCCTCCACCTGGCCAGACACCCTGCACCCAGCCTGCTTCTGCACCCTACCTCCCACCCAGACCTCGCAACCTCTCCCCCTTCTACACCCCACTTCCCTCCCAGATTCTGCACCCCATCTCTATCCCACTGGCAACCCTGTCCCGCACACTGACCCCCTCATTTTTGCCCCCACCCCAGAGCTTAAGATGATCCATAAAATCAACTAACTCCAGAACTCCAGAAAAGTAAATGTGGCCTATAGGAAGCCCTGAACATCAGTTCTCCCTGTCCTTTCCCTTTGCCTCAAGGGTATTGAGCACGAGAGGAGTGAGGTGTTACAGTTGGAGGCAACATCAGCGACAGTTTGTTTTTTCTGAGGAGTTTTTTTGCTTCTCACTTGTGTGGTCCACAACTGATTTTTTTGTGCTCAGTGGCCCTTGACCCAAAAAAGGTTCCCCACCCCTGCCATACAGTAAACATTGAAACCTTTTGAGTTGGATATAAATTAATATTTTATTTTATTTAAAATGAAGTTTCATAAACTAACATGAGAAAGTTAAAATGCTTAATCTGTTTAATAATTTAAATCAAACAGTTCTCCCCACCACTAGCTGCACCACTAGCAAAATGGCTTGGGCATAATTATGTAATTAATGGTGAGTTTCCATTAGCAACTGGTGGTCTGTGGAAAGGTTTACATAGAGCCAAGTGGTTCACAGGACAAAAAGATTGAGAACCAAGGAAACAGAGGCACCTCTGGTCTCTTCTCCTGAGAGACTACCCTGGGCTCCCTGCTGGTCCACAAAAGCCCACAGATCTGTTACCAGGGCAGTGAAATTACTGTGCCACTCCATTGTGGATGATGGACAGACACTTTGTGAGTCTTCCTCATCCAAGCAATTGATGATTTAAACAGTGTGCTAAGATGCCACTGGAGGCAGGTTGTATCGTCTCTCTACAGAGAGGGTTTTCATGACTTGTCCCTTATATTTTTGAAGGATTATTAAATGTTAACTGGATCTTCTTTGGTAATATCAACAGATTGCTTTGGGCCCAATTCTAGCCTAAAGTTTAAATTGGGTCAGGCTTTTCGTAAACTGGTTCAGAAGTGGTCTCATTTGGCAATTATTATTGGTACTGACATATACATTTCTCAGTAGATTTACATATAAAATAGCCTAGCTCCATTGACCTCCATGGCAAATGTACCTTTCAAGCAGTGGTGGTAAGGGTTAGTGACATGGTCTTCACCCTTCAATTGTCATGGTTAGTTCAATATTGTCAGTATGGCTTTTGGAAACAGAGGACACTTGATAGTTTTGCAGTAACTTCAAAAAATGCAGTTTCAGTACATCTCATTAGGGATATAAATTCCCATTAATCAGTTAATGTTGGATCATATTGGGGCTGCTGTTGGCTCCTAGCCTCTCCTGGAGCAACCCCTGTCCACAGCAAGATGGACTCCTGACAGAGAGAGGCTGTTTCAGACAGTGGCGCAGTCCCTGCCTACAGAACGCCACAGACAGGCTGATCTGGACGAGAGCAACCACTGTCTGCAATGGGCCCTCTTCTGGGCTGGAGCAGCCCCCTACCCACAGCAGGTGGGGAGCTGCTCCAACCCCTTCTGATTACCCGTTAACTGGTGCCGGTAAGCATCATCCATTAAAAGAACTTAGAAAGCTTTTCCATGAAGTTATGGGAAAGTTCTGGATGATTCCCAGACTATGAGTTAAATGGGGCTGCATCTCCACTGCAAAGTAATAGATCTTGGATCCTGGATCTCATCTTGAATCGAGGTTGGACCCCTAGTGCTGCAGTGGCATGGGACCTTAGGTCTGGACCCAGCCCTGGGTCAATGCAATTGTAGTATAGTTGCATGAGGGGGGAGGGGTTCCTATGGGGCCCAAACCCATCCCTGTTGGTAGAGGATGGTGGGAGGAGTCCTTAGAGGGGTCACATGACACCCTTTACTTGTGGTCACATGTCCATCTTGACCCTGGAAATACTACCCTGGGGGTGGTACTTCTTGTGGCAAGTGGGCAGGGCTTAAGGGGTTGGGGCATGGCTAATGTGTCCCTATTTTTGGTTCAGAAAATATGGTCATTATACACAGGGCAATTAGGGCTACAGGTAATAAGAGGATGAGCAGGATCAACGATGGTTAACAGAGCAAAACCGGCAGGGATTAAGGGAAGGAGTGAAGATGTCAAAGTGAAAAGGCAACAAGCAAAGAGGAAAAACGTCCAGAATCTAACCTAAATTCGGAATAGTGTGAGGATGTGGGTAGGCCCCAAGAGCTGTAAAGTTCTGTTAGGACATTTTTTAAAGCAGACAACGGTTCCCCTTTCATGATACATGTAGCTTGGTGTATGACCACTCTGTCTGCCTTTCCATATTGTTCATGTTAATTGTACATAAAGAATCAGAAGCTCCTGCAAAATTCAGGATTTCAACTACAAGTGGGATAAATGAGTAAAAGAGGATGAAGAAGGGAAATAACTGAACATAAATCTGGTTTCTTTGGAGGAAAAATAAAAGGCCTAGGATAGAAGGAAAATAAAGCACTAACTTAAATTAATTGACAAGAAAATCTGGGTGAGCTACTTAAAATAATAAAAGTAAATATGTTTATTAAAATACTGAACATAGCCCTTAGAAATGTGTACAATATGTTCAAACCACAGTAAAACAATGCACATTTTAGTTTAAATATGGATTGTACTTCTCTGGCCCAGCACCCTCAGGACCTGGCCAGTTCAAAGTGGGTGAATCTGCTGGACTGCTGCTGGCCTGTGTGGTTTGCTCTGACAGCAGCAAAAGGGACAGCATTGACCGAGTGGGAACTAGAGGGTGCTCGGGAGAAGAGGCAGGATGGCTGAGGAGCCCTATGAGTGGTGGTTAGGAATGCAGCCCCAGTCTTCGGCCCCTGAGTGTTTCCCGGTCCTCTCTTCTTCTCTTCCCTCCTTGAGTTTCCAGAGTGCTGCAAATAGCTCTTGCAGTGCTCCAGAAGCTCTGGGAGGGCAGAGGAGGAATTGGTGAGTGCAGGGCCTGGCTTTTACCTGTGAGTGTTCCAGCCCAAGAGCATCCACAGGGATGCCGTACCACAGGTGTTGCTTGACAACAATAGACCAGACTATAGAGGTCCAACCTGTATTTAAGTATGTATTAATACCCTCATCTTGCAAAGATTTAGGCATCTGCTTAACTTTATGCATTTACACATTGCATAAAGGTAAGCACATGCCTTAATCTTTGTATGATCTGATCACAGGGTTGGACTTTTAAAAGCACCTGAAAGAGTTAGGTACCCACCTCCCAGTTAAAAGTAAAAACATTCTATAGGAGCTGGGGCCTACTTTCGTTGCTTGTTTGAGGCATTAAAACATTGCAATTCCTAAATTCATCTCTTTTTACCTAGGTGCTGTCAGTGTTGAAGCACTCACTACTGTCCTTCAAACAAGAAAGGAATGCTGAAATGTTAAAAGTATACTTTATCTTTTCCTTGCAGTTTCTTGTCAAAGAGGTAAGCTTTAAGTCTATTTGGTTAAGAGCCTATATCCAGAATTTCACTTTGTGTTACATAGTTTTTTTTTCTCAATCATTACTGAAAAAAAAGCCAAAAATTTTAGAAACTCTTATTTCTTTCATATAAGTGTTGTGTCATTCTTTTTATATTCTATAGAACCATTCAGGCTTAAGAAAAACTGGCTGAAAGAACCTCAGATAAAATAAGAGGAGTTTAGCCCAATTTTAAAAACACAGGGTGCATCTACACTGCCCCTGTCGTTCAAAATAAGCTACACAATTTGAGGTATGCCAATTCCGTAGTTTATTTTGAATAAATTTTGAAATAGCTTATTTAGAAATTTGGCGCTGTTTACACAGCACTTACTTAGAAATAAATACCTATACCCAAATGTCCCTTACTTCTTGTGGAATGATGTCTGAATAGTGAGCCCGTTATATAACGGATGCACTCAAAAGTGTGGAATAGCTATTCCTGGATACAGCTGCAGTGTAGATGTAGCCTTAGTGTTTCAGTCCTACATTTACATGAAGGCTGTTCATTTTTTGTGAAGTGCTAATACTGTTGCCTACATAAATATGATCAATGGCAAGATGTCCATCCACAAGATGTTTTATAATGCATATATATAATATGCATTGGAAGACAGGATTTTCCCAAAGACAAAATGTTAATAATTGTGCCTGCCTCAATTCACGAAACTTTATAATGTCCAGCACTTTGTATCTTGCACACTTGAACTAATTTAACAAAATGTTTTAACTAGGGCTATTTGGATCAAGAATGTAATCCTATGGGATTTACTGGACTTGTGTCCCATTTATATTATCATGAACCTTCAAATTTTGTCCTGGTTAGCTTTCTACTGAAAGGTTTGTTCCACAAACTGTGCCAGCCAATAGAGAATGGTAAGTTAATATCTCATACTTTTTAATTAATGCAACTGTATTTTTGTGGAGGACAATCTAAATCATGTTCATATATATTATGTGCTCTAACATTAATGCTCTGTGCTTAATTTAGAAAATTACAAAACACATGTGACATGTACTTTCTTCCATATGTTAATAGAATCTTTCTATTGTTATATGCTCACTAAGGTTAATGTCTAAAACAGTTGCAGTACCCACTCTAGATAGTATAAATGTAATTTGTTTTCAAATGTAGTAATTGTAGTTGTGTAAAAAAAAATCAAAGCGATCATGTAAAACTTCATTGTTATTATGGAGTTACAGTGTCTTTCCATAGTTAAGGCTGCAGCTGGGTTGCATTACAAAGTCCATTTTGAATCCCCATTCTGTGGACCTTATTTCTGATGTCTCTTCCATTATCCCAGTCAAAAATGAAAATGTATTAAGATTTTTTAACCCAGTTTGTTTTATATTCACCCTTTTGCTCTGTACATAAATACTGAAGCTTTCATGTGTATCATGCTGAAACTTACAAACAGAAACAGAGCTTAGTTAAAAAAACAAAGGTCCCATTCTGCAAACATAGATTGGGTCCCAAGAATTTTTACACAAATTTCTAGTTTTCATTGATTTGCAGTCCATGTTACAATATAGTTCTGGTAGGTAATTCATATATAAAGTCTTTAGATGTTTTAAGATTTTCAAACTGTACATTTGTTTAGCTTAAATAACGCCTTCATCTTAAAAATTACTTGTGTTTGAATGTTTTTATTGTCTGTACAATAAAATGTCAAAGATTGACAAAGTTGAAATAGTTTACAGAGGAAAAAACTTTTGTTTTCAATGTATTATTGCATTTGACAGTGTGTTTTGCATACTCAGTTTCACTAAATCTCCTGTACTGGAAACCCTCGCCACTCACGGTGGATGCATTTCTGGCACAACTGCGCATGGCGAAATCCACAAATGCGGGGGGATGATGGTTTCCAACCCCCACAGTGAGCTCCCTATGGCTCCCAAACTCACCGTGAGGGCCAGAACTGCAGGGAACTCACTGCAGCTGCCAGGAGCCATGGTCAGTTCCCAGTGGCTCCCAAATTCATGTGCACCCAGCAGCCATGGGGAACTCACCCTGTCTCCTGGCAGCCGTGGGGAAGCTCACTACAGCTACAGGGAGCCACAGGGAACTTCCTACAGCTCCTGGCCCCTACCAATCCCCACCCCCCGGCCAAGACTAGAGAGACCCCATGAATATGTGGCATCGTAAATAGCAAATTCCACAAATCAAAAAGGTATATTGTGTTGCAGAAGAGATTGTTAGCACCACCTTTAAGTTTGCCAGACACATCCCACTATTAGACCCTAGGTTCAGTTGTCTATACTTTTGCGAGATTTTAATAATTTGGGCAGAAGCTTTTCATGATAAGGCCTGCCTCGGTCTGAATAATTTTGGAAAACTTCAGCCAAAGTGGTCAGATGTTTCCAAAAAAGAAGCTAGGTAAATATTCATTTGTTTGCTCACGTTGAAACATTCTGGCAATTTTTTTCTTTGAAATGCGCTAGTCTAGTATTCCCATACTTCAGAGCAGAGATTTGAAATTTGGCTTAGGGTGGTCTTTGTGTCATGAATATGCCTTTTGCTGACCTCATGAAAGTCTGTCCACATTTGGCCATAGTATAAGCCTTTGAAAAATTAAGGGTTGCATATGCTCAGTAGAACCATGTCAGACCTGAACATCTAAAATCTCTGAAGAATCCATCCACACTGAATATACCGCAATCCAGGATTGCAGGATGCTAAGCAGTACTTTTCCTGCAATTGAAACTCTGGGCATGTGGAGGAATAAGCTTCCTAATTTGAATGCAGAGGAGACAAGAGCCAGACTGGAGGTTGGAGGGGGAAGGAATATATTGAGACTAGGATGTGGGGTGGAGGCTGGTGCTGCCGGCTAAGGGAGAAGAACTGGAAGTGGGGGTGCCATGAAGACTACAACTGACTGAAAAAGGAGACTGGAACTGGGAGTGAGATAAGGGACACTGGGACTGAGAACCAGTGTGGTGGAGGTGGGAGTTAAGACAGATGAGGGGCAGGATGAGAAGTAGAATTGGCTGGGCAAAGAGACTGGGACAGGAACTGGAGAGGACTAAGAGTTGCACTAGGAAACAGAGGGATGAGATTGGATAAGGCGCCTGGAGAGGGTGACTTTGACTAGGAACCACAGAAGACAGGCTGTATGAGTGGCAGGATGACTCAAGGTCAGTGTGGGAAGATACATATTAGGGCATCCTTTTGACCATATTCTCTTTGCCTCAGTTCCCCATATATATAAAGAGAATAATACCATCCCCTCATCTCACTGGGGGTTTGAGAAAATAAATAAATGTGAATGTTTACCTTCCTCTGCAGCACGGGTCACAGATCCCTTGTTCGTTTAAATTAGAGGAAATGGTGAATTGTCTGTAATTCAAAGTCTTTAAATCAGCCTTTCCTAATTTTTGAGTACTTGATTTTTCAACCTTAATGTTCTACTTAATGTAGTTTTTTGTATATAACAATAAATAAGTTCATCCCCCCAGTTTTCTTTATTATTTGTGTAGGTCCTTAACACAAGAACACGAAAGAGCAAAAAAATTTTAAAATCAGGAAAATATTACAATAAAAATTACCACAGTTGATAGAGAAAATCATGGAGAGATATAGAATCTACAATTACTTTTAATTATTTTTAAAATTACAAGAACTCAAGTTGGAAGTGTGTATTTAAAGGTTAAATACATTTTCTTATTTTGCATATTTATTAAGTGTACTTTCTGTTTGAAATAGGTTCAGCTGTTTTTTCTGAAGCTGTGATGGTGCAATTAGTACTAGTGCTAGCAAACTTATTTGGAAGGAGGTATCTACCAGCCTGTGCTACAAAATTTAGAACATCTTGCCAGTCAAAGGTAAAGAATGAATGTGAATTAATGAATGTATTATTTGCATTGTGATAATACGCAAAAGCCCTAATTAGGGATTGTGGGCCATTATTCTAAAGGCTGCATATATATATAGTGAAAAGACAATTCCTTTTTGAAAGTGTAGTCCCCTTACTGAAGGGGCCTCTGTTTTATTCTGAAAAGACCATGGGTGCTATAATCCAGACTACAATTCCCATGAGTCCTTGGAAAAAAACAGGAAGGGAGGACTCTGGGGGGAGAGAGGAGGCTCTTTCCATGTGCTTAAAGAAGAGGCCTAGCAGTCTGGGACTCTGCCTTGGAGTTTGGAACCAGAGGGGGAGCCAGGCTGCTGCCAAGGACATTGACCCAGTGCAGGGGCTGTTGGAGTGCAGCTACTGGATGCCTGTTGGAACTGGGAGTTAGCAGGCTGCTTCCTATAGGCACAGCATAAGGCAGTAATTTTGGGCCTTGTTGGAAAAGTGCTGCCTGGGACAGAGCTGCTGTTTAGCCTGGACCAAATCCTCACTACAGCTGCAACATCAGCACGCCCACGTAAGTGTCTGGGACTGAGTCTAAGGGAGTGCAAACTCTGGGGTGGGGTCACTGTTGTCTAGCTATATAAGCTTTAGTTATTGTTATGTGTTTGTTAATGCTATTCATTGTGAATCTGTTAATCCCTGTTTATTTAAGTTAAGTAAAGATTGTTTATTTTAAAGTGTTCTATTAGATGTATATGATTAGTAGTTGTTCTGAAATTAGATCCAGATTTATGTTGGAATGAGTATATTCCTGGAGGTTCTCAAGGCACACCAGTGTGTGTACAAGGCCAGCCAGGTGGAGGCACCACCATTTTACATTCACTGTCAGCAAGGGACTGCAGCAAGGGGGTGGATAGGGCTCTCCAACTAAACACCATCACCACTGGGGTGCTCAGGATCTCTTTTGGGTTAAAACACCAGGCGCCCAGGCACACCTGTTAATGTGACCTGCTCCCCAGTAACCCAGGGAGGAAAAAGGGGGTTACAAAAGATCTAATTACTAAGAACTATAAAAGAGTAGCAATTAACCAAGAAGGGTCCAGTGGGTCCTCATTTATGTGAAAACTGTCCAAGTATTCTTTAGAGATGATACTGCTGCTTATATAGTTCTTGTGATAATGGTATTTTCTTTTTAAGTGTATTGATTAAACTGTCCTTTTCTAAAAATTCTAAACAATGTTCACGTGTCTCTTTTTCTTAACTTAAGATAATTCCTCCTTTCTTGCCTCACATTCTAATTCTGATCTCCAGTCTAAAGTGCTATCATCTGTGAAATCTATTAGACTAGAACATTGGCCCTAGAAAATGTATCCTTTTCTTTGGTACACCTAGATCCAAATTCGGGGTCAACATTTTTAGAAGTGTGATAATGGACAATAACATTGATTATGCACAGGGGAAGGACAGGGTGAGGGCAGAAAAGGAGAAATGTGATGTAGTCACTAGTATCCCTCCACACAAACAATATACATTTTGAACTCCAAGTAATTTTGTGTGAGATCAGCTGGGGATGGGATAAAAGGACAGAGCTTAAGAACAGCCCTTGTGTGTGAAGCTACCCCTCTAGCCAACTTTTCAATATCCAAACACAAAAAGACCATTTTTAATTTTATAGCTTCTAGGAGGGGTTATTGGATAGCTGTGACCAGTGGCCACAAAGCAGTAGAAACATTAATGTTGCTAGAGTGCCTGTGGAAAGTCAGGCACTAAGATGTGCAGAAGTGGGTTGTGAACTATGTGCAGTAACACATACCCCAATCCTCTTTGCACCAGCATGAACACTTAAAGTTATATGGAATTATATGCTGAGTTCTCTGTATCTTCAAAAATTCCATAATTTTAAGTTTTGTTAACTGTAGCCTAACTACAGGGATCTAAAGTTGGACATTTTGAAAATCTGGGCTATGATGTTTGACACTATAGTTGTTCCAGTATTTGCTTATAACCCTGACAAATGTGTTTTTGCATTGTAGTAGAACTAATGCTCTCAGATACCAGAAATAGTTTCCCTAAATAAGACCAGTTGTATGTTATTGCAGGTGTTTCTAGAACATCTCCCAGAAGAATTTTCTGCTGCTGTTCATGAATATAACTGCAAAATAAAGAAGAATTTTGGTTGTTTTCTTCTAACAGTTGCCAAGCTGGCTGACATGGAACAAGAATACCAACTTCCTTTATCAAGGATAGGTAGGCACTGGAAACACATACAAATGCATACTAATTTGAATGACTGATAGTTTTGATACTGGGGACTTAGGTGAGCAAAATGTTACACAGTTAAAGGCTGGTGAATTCAGCCCAGCTAATACAGACATATACAGTCTGTTGCTTCTATCATTCTACAAATGAGTACAGTAGTTGCAGATTATATTGAGATATTATAGCAATTACAGGGTACAGGGGAGGAGGCACATGGGTCAGCTACTATCCTTTCATGATTCTGAGTAGGGAATAAAATCAAATCAAAAGTACTCCTTTATGAAAGGGGCGAGGGGAGGGAGAATGGAGTATGTGTATTAGGTATAACTGCCAGAACCTGTAAATTGACTTTTCTTGTGCTGAGAAGAGCTAAAAGGGCAACTATCTGTCTGATCAAAATCCCGTCAGAACTTCTGCTGGCCAATTCTCATAAACTTCAGAGGGGTAGCCGAGTTATTCTGTAACAGGAAAAAATTAAAAAATAAGTCTAGTAGCACCTTAAAGACTAACAAAACATGTAGATGGTATCATGTAGATGGCAAAACCCACTTCTTCAGATGACTGGAGTATTAGAAGTCCAGATCCAAGAATAAATAAGGGAAGGGGGTGGGGAGAGGAGGAAAAAGAGAGAAAAGGAGGGGGAGAGAGAGACAGAGAGTAGATGGTTCAATTAGTTACAAGGGGCTGATAAGAACAATTAGAACCTCCACTGTTTTGTTGGTTAAGTCATTATGATGTGGAAGGTAGTGTGAAAGCTAGCTGATGTCCCTGTTCATTCCATTTGCATAAGAATTAAACTTGTAAATGAAATTAAGTTCCAATCCTTCCCTGTGTATTTGGCTTATGGAACTGGCCTGAAATAACATGGTGACTTGGAGATCCATTAATGAGTGTCTGGGCGGATTAAAGTGTTCTCCAACAGTTTTCTGTGTATTGCCTTTTTGGATATCTGATTTGTGTCCAATTAATTCTTTCCTGTAGAGACTGTCTAGTTTGGCCAATATACATGGCATTGCTGGCATTTGATGGCATAGATCACATTAGTGGATGTGCAGTTAAATGAGCCTCTGATTTGGTGGCTGATGTGGTTGGGTCCTGTGATGAAATCGCTAGTGTAGATGTGTGGGCAGAGTTGGCGCTGGGGCTGATTGCAGGTGTAGGTTCCTGGATGATTATGATGGAGGTGTGTTGTGTGGTTACTGGAAAGAATTTGTTTGAGGTTAAGGGGTTGTCTGTAGGTGAGGACTGGCCTGACCCCAAAGGTCTCAGAGTGAGGAGTCATTTTCCAGGATAGGTTGTAGATTGTTGGTAATCTGTTGGAGGGGTTTAAGTTGTGAGCTGTAGGTGATGATGAGTGGAATTCTGTAGTTTTCTCTTTTGGGGCTGTCTTGAGGTAGTTCCTGTCTGGGTACTCTTTTCACTCTGTCAACCTGTTTTTTTTCACTTCTCTGGGTGGGTATTTCTGTTTTAAGAATTCTTTACATAGATGCTATCGGTGTTTGTCTCTGTCTGTGGGATTGGAACAAATCCGATTGTATCTTAGGGCTTGGCTGTACACAATAGATTGAGAAATGTGTCTGGGATGGAAGCTAGAGGCATGAAGGTAAGTGTAGCGGTGGGCAGGTAAAGTGGTGGAAATTTGTCCATCATTTAATTGCACTGTAGTGTCAAGAAAGTGGATCTCTCATGTGGATTGTTCCAAGCTGAAGTTGATGGGGGGGATGGTGGAAGTTGTTGAAATCCCTGTGAAATTCTTCAAGAGTCTCTTTCCCATAGGTCCATATGATGATGTCATCAATGTAGTATAAGTAGAGTAAAGGTGCTAGGGGGCAAGAGCTGAGGAAACGTTCTTCAAGGTGAGCCAGAAAGATGTTGACATATTGTGGTGCCATGTAGGTGTCCATGGCTGTCTCGCTGACTTGAAGATGCAAACTGTCTCAGAATCTGAAGTAGTTGTGGGTGAGGACAAAGTCACAGAGCTCTATAACTGGGCACTTGTGTAACACCACAATATGCCAACATCTTTATGGCTACCTTCCACATCCTAATGACTTAACCAATCAACCAAACTTGGTGGGGCTAATTGTTCTTATCAGTCTCTTGTAACTACTTGAACCATCTCCTCACAGTCTCTCTCTTCCCCCCCCTCCTCCTCTGCTCCCCCCCTTCACTTATTTATTCTTGGATCTAGACTTCTAATACTCCAGTCATCTGAAGAATTCTGTTTTGCCCACAAAAGCTCATGATACAATTCTCATAAAGTGAGAGGTTATTGAAAACTTGATTAATCATATAGGAGGCTTGCCAATACCAAAGGACTGGACACTGATCCTCAAGCTACTATGAGTTTCAGATTTTACCCAATAATCAGGCAGTTGCCAATAGTTTAGTAATTAAAATTAAAGGTTTTATTAATAAAAGGAAAAGAGTTGCAGTGGTTAAGAGCTCAGAATTGCTATGTCTATACTACAGAGGTTTTGCCCCAAAACTTGTGGAGCGTCGCACAAAAACATGCTTGAGGTGTGAAGTAAAATGAAAGAAAGGAGGGGTTTTTCCAGTGTAGGTATTCCTCCTCCTGCGAAGAAGAACTCCTTTTTGTGTAAGGGTTTTTTGCACAAGAGGGAAGAGGAAAAAGCACAGGTGGCCTGGTGGCTATTCTGTGCATAGCAATCAGGGTTTAGTTTTGAGAGAGTGTCCATGCAGTCTGGATGCTCTCTTCCGCAGAAGCACATTGCTTTTTCGATGCGCTTTTGCAGTATGGATGCTCTTTTGTGCAAGAAGTTTTTGCGGAAGATACCTTCTGCAAAAAGCTTCTTGTGGAAGAAGAGAGAGTTACTCACCTTGTGCAGTAACGTCTGTTCTTCGAGATGTGTGTCCCCATGGGTGCTCCACTCGGGGTGCTAGGCTCGCCCGGCTCCGCAAACCTGAGGATCTTCAGTAGCAGTAGCCCTCCCACTGGATCACGCACGCACGACCGCTGTTTTGCGCCTCTCAGCTGAGCGCGGTCCGGCTAGTCAGTTTCCTCCCAACCAGAAGCATCTGAAAAATATAGAAATATAACTTCGAAGCAGGGAGGAGGGTGGGACGTGGAGCACCCATGGGGACACACCTTGAAGAACCATTGTTACTGCACCAAGGTGAATAACTTCTTCTTCTTTGAGTGGTCCCCGTGGGTGCTCCACGGAAGGTGACTACACAGCAATACTCTGGAGGCGCTCCGGAGTTAGAGATTTTCAGTGACTGAAAGTACTGCTGAAGCCACCCTGGAGTCTGCAGCCCAGCACTGCACTATAGCGTAATGGTTCATAAACGTGGTGCTGGAGGACCACATAGCCTCTCGGCAAATACCAGGCAGTGAGACTCCCCTGACGAAGGCAGTCGATGTGGCTACCGCTTTGGTGGAATGCGCTCTTGGTGGTTGCTGGAGGGGTTTGTTGCAAATGGAATAGGTGGCGATTATGCAGGAAATGATCAGTCTTGAAACCTGCTGGGAGGACAAAGGAGTACCCTTTGATCTGTCCGCTATGGACACTAATAGGCGATCTTTCTTCCACCATCCCTGTGTCTTGTCAATATAGAAAGCCACCACTCACCTGACATCGAGAGTATGAAGTAGTGCTTCCCGAGTGGAGGAATGTGTCTTTAGGTGAAAGGAGCGGAGAATGACAGGCTCATTTAGATGAAAGCTTGAGCAAATTTTGGGAATAAAGGCAGGGTGGGGACGCAACACAAGGGAATCTCTAGTAAAAGCTGAGAATGGTGGCATAGCCATCAGAGCTGTTGGTTCGCTAATTCTGCGCGCTGATGTAATTGCTAAAAGAAAAAACACCTTCATGGTTAACAATGTGAGAGACGAAGTAGTCATCGGTTCAAATGGCGGATACATCAAAGCCCAAAGGACCAAGTCTAAGTCCCAGGAGGGGGGCTGAGGCCTATGTGTGGGCCTGAGGATTATCAGCCCCTTTAACATTCTTTTCATCAGCGGGTGGGTGAATACCAAGGTGCCCTGAATAGTATCATGAAACGCGCTGATGGCTGATAGGTGTACTCTTAAAGTAGAGAGTGACAGACCAGACTGCTCGAGAGACAGGATATAGTCTAGAATCTGGTGGATCAGTGCCGTACTAGGGTCAATATATAAATCAGTCGATGCTAACTGTTCGAAAGGAGGACGAGTGATAATGTCCAATACTAACGCCAAGTCCCATGGCTCCGGAGGAATCCTGTGAGCTGGATATAGGTTGTCCGGGCCCTTAAAAAACCTCTTGGTGAGGGGGTGTGCACACAGTGAATAACCGCCGATGGGCAGAAGGAAAGCGGAGATTGCCGCTAAGTGCACTCTAAGAGAAGAACATGCCAACCCTGTCATCTTCAGGTACAAAATATAATCCAATACCTGCTGGACAGGCAGCGAGAGAGGGTCGAGATCCTGTGCCGCACACCAAGCTTGAAAGCGACACCATTTCTGCAGGTAAGTCTTGCGCGTGGTGTGGCGTCTGCTGTTAATTAGTACATGTCTCACTTCGTGAGAACACATGAACTCCAACCCTTGAAGCCAGCTAGGAGCCACGCCATCAGGTGCATGCGGTCGATGCACGGGTGGATCATCGTGCCGTGCTGTTGAGATAGCAAATTGAACAGTACCGGTAGCTGTATCGGTTCGACGACTGACATCCTTGACAACTGAGTTAGCCATGTCTGCCGGGGCCAGAAGGGTGCTATTAAAATTATTGTTGCCTGGTCTGCCGCTACTTTCTCCAGCACCCTCGGGATAAGCGGGAGAGGGGGAAATGCGTACAACTGGTGACGACTCCAGTCCAGCAGGAAGGCATCTCCCAAGGAGCCTGCTCCAGCGCCCACTCGAGAACAGTACCGATGACATTTCCTGTTGCTGTGAGTGGCAAAGAGATCTATCTTTGGAAGCCCCATCGTTGGAAGAGGTTGCGGGTGACCTCCGTGTGTAGCTCCCATTCGTGCTGGGAGAAGAA